TTGCTTAGCGCCTGGTTTTTGCTAGGGCTGGCTTTGAACTTGGGATCCTCCTGCCTCGGCCTCTCGAGCTGCTGGGATTACAGGCATGCCGCACTACTCCCGGCACAGAATCAATTTTGTTTTGTTTTTTGTTTGTTTTTTGCCCTTCTCAATGCTTTATTCACTCAAATCACTCAATACAATTTCACTCTATAGGTTCTTAATCAAGAAAACAACAATTCTTAATTCTAGGGCAAATGATCTGAAGAGACACTTCTCAAGAAAAGACATACAAAAAGCCAACAATTATCTGAAAAAAATGCTCAGTATCATTAGCCATCAGGGAAACACAGATTAAAACCACAAGGAAATGATTTCACCTCAATTAGGCTATCTGTTATCAAAAAGAAAAAAGTAACCTGGTGAAAACGTAAAGACACGGGCACTCGGGCTGGGGACACGGCCAAGCTGGTGAGCACCAGCCTCACGTGCACAGGCCTGGTTCAATCCCTAGCACCTCAGAAAGTAAGTGGACGAATGAGTCACAAATGAGAAAAGGGAGCTCCTGCACCCTGTTGGTGGGAACGTAAACTGGACCTTTAGGAAGAACATACGGACGGAGGCTCCTCAAGAAACTGAAAACAGGTTCTGGTGTGTATCCAAGACCACAGAACTGGCCCAGACGCCTGAAGGTCCACCGCAGCCAAGGCCTAGACTGGACCTGGGTGCCCACCGGCAGAGGAGGGACAAAGGAAATGGAGCACAGGTACACTCGGGCGGATCATTCAGCTCTAAGAAGTAGGGCTGGCTGGGCACAGTGGCGCACAACTGTAATCCCAGCAGCTTGGGAGGCTGAGGCAGGAGGACTGCGAGTTCAAAGCCAGCCTCAGCCCTTAGCAATTCAGCAAACCCTGTCTCTAAATAAAATATAAAAAAGGGCTGGGGATGTGGCTCAGTGGGTTCAATCCTCAATACCAAAAAAAAAAGATTGTGTTCACCTATAACTAAAAAATAAATTATTAAAAAAAAAAAAAGGACTAAAGGACAGCCTGTCAAGTAAACAAGCCAGACAGACACCAGAGCCTGTCCTCTCCCAGGTGGATGCTGGAAGAAGCCAGCCTGGGTATCCAGCAGTGAGGACGAGAGGCTGCGAAGGGGTGGAGGGTGATGAAGGGCAGCTAGCTGGGTGGTTCAGCGTGCACATTGCACATGGGTATTAAAATGTCTCACTGAACCCCGCTGATGTGTGTGATTGATAAAAAGTGAAAGTAATTCTTAAAAACAATACTTATTTGAGGATGGCAATTAATTATAGTTCCACATATTTAAGATATTTCTTACATAGCTTTCTGAATGGAAATTCCTAAAGAGGTACTATTTTCTCACACAAGTGTCATCTGATTGCAAACGGTTAACTTTGTATCAACATGCTAAGATTGTCCAGGTCTAAGTAGACAGTGTAGCACTAATAGTGTGGTACCTGGACACTAAATCTTCAAGAGAGGAAAACTGCATATTGATTGATATTGGTATTTATTGGGTCGTAATGTATTTAAATTTTCTTTAATGCATATGTTAGTGATTGTTTACTGTGATAAAGTGCAAAGAGGTCTTCAAGAGTGATCTTGTGTGGGAAGAATTGCCTTGTGTCACTGGTCACTTTTCAGTTAAAAGTTCCATTAGCAGATGGTTCTTGCTTCTGGGGTGGGTCACAACTGCACTCCATCGCCTGTAAATCAGCCTCCCGGTGGGGAATAAATAAACAGCTCAAGGATGTGGTAATGTTGTGTGAACTTCCCTACAGTAGAAGCACCGGGGTCCATTTAAGCCAATGAAGTTCAGAATATTTATTGAAGACAATTCTTTATCATATTTGAATTCTGTCTGAAAATAGCTCTTTTTTTCTTGCTGAAGAATATTGATTTAATTGGAACAGAATGTCTATAAATCAATAATATCTTGGTCATATATTTGAAAATTTTAATTAGATCGTATAACTTCAGCATGGCTTATAATTGTGTATTTCAGTGGAATTCAGCATGCTTTTAATGAATCGTAGATTGTTGTATTGGCGATTAACAGTAAGTCAGACGTGAGCGGAGGAACTGGCCTCTGGAACATACCGAGGCTCCAGCCCAGAAAGACAGACAGCGAGTCGGAAACGGGCGGAAGAGCCAGAGGGTTGGCATACCCCTTCACAGCCACCATCAGGCCTCTGCCAGAACCGCTGGTGGGTGCTGCTGAAGATGGGCAGAAACCAGAGGAAGCCCAGCAGGCAGACATGTCCCAGCAGACCCAGGCAGCAGTGTCCCGGCAGAGGGCCCTGCTGGGGCATGGCTGAGCAGAGTGGTACTGCCCACCCCTGGAGGACCGCTCCAAGCCAGCCGAGGTTTCACCTTGTGGGCCGACTCCTGTGCTTCCAGCAGGGACAGGAAGCTGTGAGAGGCCAGCCTTGCACCGCCCACCCTCCCAGCATTCCCTGTGGGTTTTCTGAAGGAAGAGGAGAGATACCACTGGCATGGCTATTATCAGAACCATGGTTGGCTCCTGGTCCTGGCAGCTGGGGTGAGACTACCGGAGTAGGCAGCCCCAACAGTCTAGACAGCAGGGCCTGCCAGGCTCAATGCCTTTCTGGAAAACCAGAGTCTCAAAGAAGATGCAGGCGCCTGCGTCCTGGGGCCTTGGGAGCCTCCCACAGGAGGGGGCCATCCTGGGAAAGGCGGGGTTTCCACATTTCCAAGGTAACCGAGTTGCTCCTGCCTCATGCAGCAGAAGCCAGCTCTGGCCATTTGCTGGGCTGTGAGTGAGCAGCCGTCCATCTCTGCTGACTCGAGCAAACCTGAACTGTGCTCAGCATTAGGTGTGGCAGGGTTCAGTGGGTGGGAGCCCATCCAGCCTCAGGCAGCATGGCGACCTCCAGGTGATGGTCCTGCCCGTGAGATGCCAGAACACCACAGGGAGCACAGGTGTGGGTGTGAGCGTGGGGGTAGCTGTGTGGACAAGTGTTACAGGACTTGACAGTGTAGACTGGTGCCTGGAAGAGGATCGTGGTCGGCCAGGGCCTGAAGTGGGTCTTGCAGTGTACACATTCCTGCATAACCAGAAAGGTCGAGTGAGGAGAGGAGGACTCGCAGGCCAGTTCACGGGTGCACAGTCCCCGTGCAAGGTGGGCCCTGGTGTGCAGTGGGCACTCGATGCACGTCTGTCAGTGCGTGGGTGCCGTGGTTGTGCTGGGCCCTGTGTTGGAGGCGCAGCATGTTCCTGCAGGGAGCAGCCAGTCCAGAGGCCACGTTTCCTGTTCCCAGTTGCTGGTTCCAAAGCACACACGGTTAGATGGTGTATCCTTACCTTATGTTTCTTTTTTTTTTTTTAAACTCTGTGGTTATCATGACTTGAAATCATTAAAATTATTATCTGCTTACTCAGTTAGGATGGCCTTAAAGCAAGACATCATCTCATATAGTTTTTAGATTAAGTTATAAATGTTCACTTTAGAACTACCTGAAGATTGATAGAGATGCATTTGGAAAGCATTATTTTTTTATTGATTCTTAATGTAGTAAATTACTGGAGTTATTTGGCAGCAAACAGGAATGACCTGTGATGGGCTCACATCTCTTCTCCTGATAGAGCCACAATTTGCATTAATTGCACAGCGACTGCACTCACTTATATTAAAAGGCTTCTACTATAATTAATCCTTTTTATTTCAAATCATTTTGGCACAATTTCTAGCTATAAACACTCATAAAGGGCAGACAGTTGAAAAATACGTTACAGGTTTTTTCTATATACCTATTGCTATTTTTTCATGACAGGTAGTTATTGATATGCTTCTAGGAATAAGTGTTGTGCGACTGGCTGAAAAATGCTAAGTGGATTATTTTGCATAAAAAATAGGCAGTTTTTAAGTTGTATAATTAATTAACCTATGTTTAGAAAATACCTTGATTTATGCTTACATTTGTATCTCAGTTGCATACATTATAGAAATTTAATTTATAATCCATTTAGCTGATGCAGTCATAGTTTTTAGTGCTATCATTTATTAGTGCTTGTATATTAAATGCTCTAAAGGTTTAAACCTGCCTTATGTAAAAAATTATACCTATGCATTTGCATTTTATGAGTCACAGTGGGATTTCTGTTTAAAATTCAGGTAGCTCTGATATATTTAAAGAATCTTGCTGGTTTATTGTTACTAATGCAGAGATGGCAAACAATGACCTTAAATATTGAACGTCAGGTGATTTACGCTAGCAGTTTACTTTTAGAGTTTGCTGTACAAATGAGGGCTTTTCTTCGACACCTGGGCCCCACCGTCCAGTGCTCTGCGGAGTGTTGACTTGGACGTGATGGTGCGCATCCATGCTCCAGGTTAATAGCTCTGACTGCTCTGAACTTGCCGTGGCTTTGGGGAACAGCTTTTCGTTGGCATTGTCAGTAGATAGATGACTAAGTGTGAGTTGCCATTTTATTACTCCTTCTGTCCTTAAGGGGTCTTTTTTTGGCCATCTTTTCAGAATTAATTGGGCAGTCATTAATCTTCAGATGAGAAATAGAGCACCAGGCCAGGGTGCTGTGGTTGGCCCAGCCGGGGATGCCAGGGTCTCCTGGAGGGGCTGCTATGACCTGATTGATCCTGAGCTTCTTACATAGACAGCCCGGGGAAAAAGCACTCTCCAGAGTGCCTGTCAAAAGTGACCAGCTCAGGTGGTAGAGTGCTCGCCTCGCATGCCCAAGGCCCTGGGTTCAATCCCCAGCACCACCAGGCAAAAAAAAAAAAAAAAGTGACCAGCATGATTCATGACATTGAAATGTTCACTATTTTTTGAGAAAAACTTCACAGCTGTTTCTGGGTCTTTTGGTGATGGCAACAGGTGAGTCCTTAGATTACATACCTCAAGGGCATCTGAGCAGGCCAGTGGCACACCTCTGTAATCCCAGAGGCTCAGGAGGCTGAGGTGGGAGGCCAGCTTCAGCACCTTAGCAAAACTCTAAGCAACGTAGTGAGTCCCTGTCTCAATGCAAAATAAAAGGTGCTAAGGATGTAGCTCAGTGGTTAAGCACCTGAATTCAGTCCCGGTACCAAAGGCGGGGGGGCATGTGAGCACGCTCTATTGGAGTGTATAGGCTTCAGCGTGTGTTTAGGAGCTCGCGACTTTATAGAAAGCTTGAAAGAGGTGACTGAATGCTGTGCTGTGCTGGGAACCATGACAGAGCGCCGGGGCTGCTTTCTAGAAGCTCCCCAGAGGCACCTCGCGCACCCCACCTCCCAGGATCTGTTTGCTCTGGACCATTAGCTTTTGCCTGAGTGTGTGTTACATGATCTGGCAGAAGAGTGACTCCTGTTTGGGCCATCTGTGGGAGGCTACCCCACAGATGAAGCAGCTGTCTGTCAGGGCCTTTCATGAGGCACCCAGCGACATGTGCTTCTCTAAATCCTGGGACAAAGGACTCCTGGCTATGTCCAAGCACATCTTCCTCAGCACAACCCTCGGTATGGGGCCAGTGCAGCTCTTGGCCTCTGTCTGTCCTTGCTGGTGTCCCTCAGGCCTAGGCAGGGTCCCAGGACCACATGTACTCCAAACACAAGACAGGTTCTCGACCCCTCTGCTAGAGAGCACTTTTTACTTTAAAACCAGGCCCAAGTTCTCCACTTACCAAGTAGGGTAATCGCACTGTGCTTCTTGTCCTGGGAAGGTAAGGCGGGGAGCATTTCATGGGGTCACTGTGAACGCAGACCTCCACAGACGAGGCGCTCACGGAGGAAATCCAGTCTTCTCTTGGCCTCTGTGGGAGCCATCCTCTGACCTTGTCCCAGAGCCACATGTATGGGAGGTCACAGATGTCCTACACTGTGCTCAACATGGCACCTACACATAGTGAGAACTGGGAGGAGGCAGCCAGCTGCTACATTAGAAAGGCTTATTGTGGCTTCCAGGCCCATCTGTCCAAACAAAATACTAAGACTTCTGAAAACATCACAGTGAAATTCTGGTTCTTGTTGGATTTTACAGCCTTGGGCCACAGGAACCCCTGACGTGATGCAGGGAACCTTGCATTCACTAGAGGGTCTCTGGAGCGTGATATGCTAGCACCAGGGCTTGATTGACTCCTTTAATTACCAGGAGAGTCAGCGAGGTGCCCCCTGCTACACCCAGCATGGCTGAGATGAGAAGGCCAACAGTGCCATGCCCAGGAGTATGTGGCCACGGACACCCACATTACTGGTGCTGACACCAGCCCTGGGCACCTTGGAGAATGCTTGGGCAGTACCTAATGTGGGCAAGCACACCCCATGCCCAGCCTTGAGTGCTCTCCAGGCCTGTCCTTCAGTATTTACTCATCAGCTTGTGTGTCCACCGCCAGGTGAAGAGGAAAAGACATCACACAGCAATAAACAAAAGAACAGGCAGCATCGGGCATCTCAGACAAAGGGTTGCGTGCTGCGTGCCCCCTCCGGGAGGTCCTGACACCAGGGAACCCTGCCCACCACGTAGCAGCAACAAGGGGTTGACTGCAGAGGGTGTGAGGGAAGGGCGAGAGTGCCGTGTGTGGGGTTAGGGCTCCACATCCTGGTCTTCAGGGTCCCTGCTCAGGTATGACCAGCTGTGTATGTTTCACTGCTTACAAACTATACTATAAATATGTCCACATCCTTAGATATGAAGGTGGGCATCAATGGTATTTCTCAACTTGTGAAATCACATGAAGTCCATTGTGGAACACAGCCACACGTACGCTATGCTGCAGGGACAGTGGGGCAGAGATGGTCTGGCCGGCGAGCCTGAGGAGCTCTGCTCACCACCTAACATCCCCTGCCTGTGAATGTGACTTCATTGGAAACAGGGTCTGTGCAGGTTTACTCAAGTAAAATGGGGTCAGTGCTAGATCAGAGTGGGTCTCAAAGTCAGCGGCCAGTCTTTAGAGAAAGAGTTTAGGCTCCAGTACCTCCAAAGCAGACACGCAGGGAGGGTGACTTTGAGAAGAGCCAGGAGCTGGGAACTCTGAAGGAGTCTCCCTGCCTGCACCCTGGCCCCAGGCTCTGTCCTGTGGGCTGTGAACGGATCCCTGCTGCTGCTGCTGCTGCTTTGTTCTTGGTGATTCTTGGGACATCGGTGAGGGCTCTACGTCTACCATCCCCTCTGACCCTTTGGGAGTGCAGAGGAGTGGCCCACGTCCCTTCTGTCTCAGCACTGTGTCTCAGCCCCGCACAGTCTGCAGTGAGCTGTGGCAGACTGAACGCTCCCAGGGAGTGCCTCGGTTGAGGCCTGGCCCGCGGGCTCACCCTGCCGTGGCTGCGGAGAAAGAGCCGCTGCCCTAGGACCCTGTTCAGTTGAGGAAGCATGACAGAAGTATCTGTGAATGCTAACCCTGTGCCCTGCTCTGTCCTGTCTGAAGGCTCTCTATGAAAACATGCTGGTGGAGCTGCCCTTTGCCGGCTTCTTCCTCTCCAAGCTGCTGGGCACCAGTGCCGATGTGGACATCCACCATCTGGCCTCCTTGGACCCCGAGGTCTACAGGAACCTGCTGTTCCTCAAGAGCTACGAGGAGGACATGGAGGAGCTGGGGCTGAACTTCACCGTGGTGAACAACAACCTGGGAGAGGCCCAGGTGAGCAGGGCCCCTGCGTCTGTCTCCAGCCCCAGGGCAGCGTTTCCTCCACCGCCCTTTTGACTCACCCGAGAGGGCGGGTGAGCCTTGCAGTGAGAGGCCGGCCGGGCCTGCCCGCCTGCCTTCATCAAGACCCGTGTCCTCTGCTCCTGTGCCACGGCATGGGGCAGCACCGCCAGGACGGGACCTTTGGGAGTACGCAGCTCCAGGTGCAGCCCGTGTGGGAGGCTTCCTGGCCTCGCTGAATGAGTGGTGGTCCTTGTTCCTTTACTTTTTCTTTTTTAAAAGGAAAAGAAGGCCTATATTGGAGGTTCAAACTAAGTTTTGTGTTGGGGGGTTTGGTTTAGTTTTGGGGTTTTTTTCCCCTTTTTTTCAGTGTTCTGCAACTGACCTGCACCCTCTTAACTCTCTCAGAAACAACTTTACTGAGAGAGAAGTCACAGCATGAACTGGAGCAGCTCAGTGGTGTTGATGTGTTTGTAGAATCGAGCAGCCACCTTTAGAGTGTTTCCTTTTCAGTTCTTCCAGAGGCACTTCTCCACTGAGCCATATCTCCAGCCTTTTTTTTTTTTTGGCATTGGGGATTGAACCCAGTGATACTTAACCACTGAGCCACATCCCCATCCGTTTTTATATTTTATTTTGAGACAGGGTCTCACTGAGTTGCTTAGCACCTCAGCCTCCCATGCTGCTGAGATTACAAGCGTGCACCACAGTGCCCGGCTCCAGCCCTGTACTTGTTCTTGTTGATGGACCTTATTTTTTTTCATTTATTTATATGCAGTGCTGAGAATCGAACCCAGGGCCTCACAGATGTGAGGCAAGCGCTCTACCACTGAGCCACAGCCCCTGCCCTCTAGCCCTTTTTATTTACATTTTCAGACGGGTCTCACTAAGTTGCCACAGGCCTTACTAAACTGCTGAGGCTAGCTTTCAACTTGCAGTCCTCCCTCCTCAGCCTCCCAGTTCACAGGAACTGCAGGTGGGTGGGCACCACTGCACCCAACCAAAACATTTTGTTTGTCCTAGAAAAGACACTGCTCGTCAGCAGTAGCCCCTGCCATATCTCGAGCACCGCAGCCCACTTAGGCTCTCCCCACCTGCCTCCTGGAACACTTCGTACCATGGACTCTCTTGCGCTCTTGTGCAGTTGTGGGTATCAGGACTGGGCTCCTTTTTCTGGTTCCTCGTCCTCCTTTTGGCCGAAGGCTGCAGTGGACATGTGTGCAGCATGCTGAGATGTGTAGATGAGTGGCTGCCACCTGAGCCCTGCTTTAGACATGGAGAGCACAGGCAGCAGGTGGGGCTCAGTGGGCCTGGATGGCCTGAGGTAGCAGCACCTGAGGTGCTGGCAGGGCCTGTCCGCTTCAGCCTTGGTCATCCCCACACACAACGGCCACAGTCAGACCGCTCAGGGATGACGCGAGAGGCTCCCACCAGGAGTTGGAAGGCATACTTGTTAATATCTCATGTGGCCCAGACTTGTTAGATGTGTAAGTGACTTCCTGTGCTTTCTCAATTCACATTTCCTTTTCAGAGTAAAAACTCAAGTCACAGGAAAGACAAGTGTGTTGGTGTTTCTCTAGAGCAGAGCTTTTCTGAATCTAACAGCTGGATTTTACCCACAAATATACTGTTGTAAACTTTGCAGTTGTTTCTCAAATGGATATTATCACCCGGTTCTAATCTAGGCCTTCGTGTCGTTCATGAGCTTTGCCCAGCTTAGAAATCCCTCCACTAGATGGGGATAAGTTCTGGTGCAAGGTGGGTGTGGGCCCGGGGCGTCCATCCCCACACCACAAAATCACACCTGGTGTGCACAGTAGGCTGACTACAGACAACAGTAAAAATCCAGAAGAAAGTCTGTTGCTTGTTTTGTGGTGCTGGGGATTGAACTCAGGGCCTTGTGCATGTAAGGCAGACACTCTACCAACTGAGCTATAGCCCCAACCCCAAGAAAGGAGTTTGAATGTTTTCACCATAACAGAAATGGTAGATGAGATGGGTATGTTTAACCTGCTCAAACATTACACAGTGCATAAATGTTTCAAATACCTATAGTATCCCATAAATTCATACAATTTTGTTTTTATGTATCACTTAAAGGTAAATTTAGAGCTGCTCATGGTGACACACACACCTGTAATCCCAGTGACATGAGGGTCTGAGGCAAGAGGATCACAAGTTCAAGGCCAGCCTGGACAACTTAGTGAGGCCCTGTCTCAAAAATAGAAAATACCCAGGTGCAGTGGTGGCACACGCCTGTGATCCTAGCAGCTCAGGAGGCTGAGGCTCAAAAGACTAGACACGGAACCACTAGACGTGACCCAGTTGTTCTACCCTTCAGTGTTGACCTGAAGAACTCAAGTCATGTGACATGCGCATCCCCGTGTATATAGCAGCACAGTCCATAATAGCCACACATGGCGCCGGCCTAGGGTCCATCAGTGGGTGAGTGGATGGAGGAATTGTGGCACACACGCACAACGAAGTTCGACTCAGCCATAAAGAAAAATGAGATGATGTCATTTTCAGGAAAGTGGATGGGTCTTGGGAACAGTATGTTAAGTAAAATAAGCCAAACTCAGAGGTCAAGGGTCATCTGGAATCTAGAGAGGAAAAAGGAAAAGATGGGGGCAGATCTCATGAAAATCAAAGGAAGATCAGTCGAGGAAAGGGACCCAGTGGGAGGAGGAAAGGGAGCAGAGAAGTGCTGGCTGGGTGTGGCCAGTGTGGTGTTACGGTGTGTGTGTGCACATGTGTAACAAAGCCCACTGTAACATTAATTGTGATGCTCCAGCAAAAATGGAGGAGGAGGAAACGGAACCCAAGGCAAGAGGAAGGTCAAGATGCAGGTGGCTGTCGGGTCTCACCTGCTAGGAAGTCAGCTTCCTCTTGGACTCCAGGGAGAGCCCCTGTGTCATTCCAGAGCTGGTGCTGGGCGTGTCGGGCCTGGAGTGTATGACATCCTGTAGTGGGTGGTGTCAGCTGGTGGAAAAACCAGGAGCAAGGACATGTTTGAGCACCTCTGCAGAAGAAGAGGTTTCGACTGAGTGCGCAGGGCCTGGAAGCAGGGACGGGCTCTGAGCCAGCCCACAAAAAAGCTGTACCTGGGGGTCACAATCAGAAAAGAGTTTTAGGGGCTGGAGTTGTGGCTCAGTGGTAGAGTGCTCACCTGGCATACATGAGGCACTGGGTTCGATCCTCAGCACCACAGAAAAATAAGAGTTTTAGCTGAAGGCAGTGGTGCTCACCTGTAATCCCAGCTATTTGGGAGCTGAGGCAGGAGGATTAAAAGTTCCAAGCCAGCCTTAGCAACTTAACGAGGTGCTAAGCAACTCAGTGAGACCCTGTCTCTAAATAAAATATAAAAAGGAGGGCTGGGGATGTGGCTCAGTGGTTGAGCACCCCAGGTTCAATCCCTGGTACCAAAATAAGTGTGTGGGGGGGACAAGAGATGCAGGACCATGTTTTAATTTTGTTGCAACTTATGTAGCTGCTTTAGTTTTGGTGTCTTCTTCGTAGTGTATAGCCAAAGTCTCAATAGCGCAAAATTCCAAAGTTAGTTGGCAGGTGAGGTTTGTTTTCAGAGTTCAGGGCGATGTGCTCTGTGCCTCCTGGGTAACTTGTGAGAGCAAGTGAAAGCTCCTGAGCCCTGCAGAGCTGTGCCACCCACCTGGGCCTCCATCAGGTCCCTGCAGGCAGTGCTGGAGTCTGCTACAAGCAAAAGATTGCCTACTAAGTTTAGGAGTTATAGATGGCAATGTGTTAGAGTAATTGCAACTGGGCACCCTGGCACACACTTATAATCCCAAAGCCAACCTCAGCAACACATCAAGGCCCTAAATAACTCGGTGAGACCCTGTCTTTAAATAAAATACAAAAAAGGGCTGGAGATATGGCTCAGTAGTTGAAAGCTCCTGGTTTCAATCCCCAGCACCCCTCTCAAAAAAAAAAAAAAGGAGAAGAATTGCACTAAAGATGCTCATTAGAAGAACTGAGAAAGTCAGTGGTAAAGCCACCTAGTTTGGAGAGAATCTTTTGGCTTTTTTGTAGAGGTAGATATACATAGGTAGTCCTCTCTTTAGGGTTACGTTTATAACACTGTGATTTAAAGATCTTTAATGCACAGATCCTTCATCCTGCTGGCAGGTCATTGTTCATTGTTCATTCTTCCCTTTCACAGCAATGCTGCTGCTGCTGCCAGATTTGTTTTCTTAGCTATAATCAATATGGTTGTGTCTGTGCCGTTTAATAATGTACATGGAGCTTTAGACTGCTGATGTATATGCACATCCTCCTGGAGCAGGGCCGTGAGGGTCATCTGCCACGTGGGAGGCCGCACTTGAGCCCCGTGGCCTTGGGCAGGCCACCTCCTCACTCAGAAAGATGGTGCTAGAGGGTCAGTGAGCAGTGCAGCAGCAGGTCCCAGCCAGCCATCACCAGCCCAGAGGTGCAGTGCCTGCTGGGGGAGCCGCTTTAAGTGTGCCCTCCCACCCTGAATTTCAGTAGGCGTTTGATGTGACTTTTAAAATACACATAGTTGTGCCAGGCGTAGTGGCACAAGCCTATAATCCCATCAGCTCAGGAGGCTGAGACAGGAGATCGTGAGTTCAAAGCCAGCCTGAGCAACAGCGAGGTGCTAAGCAACTCAGTGAGACCCTGTCTCTAGATAAAATACAAAATAGGGCTCGGGATGTGGCTCAGTGGCCAGGTGCCCCCTGAATTCAGTCCCCAGTACCCCCCTCAAAAATGTGTGTGTGGGGGATGTGGCTCAAGCGGTAGCGCGCTCGCCTGGCATGCGTGCGGCCCGGGTTCGATCCTCAGCACCACATACAAACAAAGATGTTGTGTCTGCCGAGAATTAAAAAATAGATATTAAAAAAAATTCTCTCTCTCTCTCTCTCACTCTTTCTTAAAAAAAAAAATATAAGACATTATGAAAAAAAAAATGTGTGTGTGTACACAAACACACACACACAGACACACACAGTTATTTAGATTTAGCCTGAGAGAGGATTTTGGTTTAAAAGTAATGCAGGCATTTTAAAGTTGTTAGAAATAGCAGTTTTGTGTGATGAGGCAGGGTCATATGTTCCTTTAGCTGAGAACTTCACTGGTCCTTTGTCTTCCAGATCACACAGGCATGTCATCACTTATTACCTGCCTTTATCAGTTTAAAGTTTAATGCATGTAAATGTGATGGCTAGTTTGGTGAGACTTGGCCAACAGGTGGACTGTTGGAGTGTAAGTGAAGGACTTACGGTAAGGGGCAGTCTTTGCTCACCCAGAGGCCACGGTTTGAAAGCTCACTGTCAGACCCATTATTCCTACAATTGCAAGTTCATCAGAAGAAAGACGGAGCCAAAGAAATTCAACAAATTCAACTCTGAGGTTTAAAGGTACATAATCTTTATAAAATTAAGAATGAGCAGACTATGCAAATGTAGGGTGATTGAAATGGCTTTTCTGTGATGCGGTAAGAGATCAGGTATATGAGCCATCGCCTAGAGGGCGGCCCCATCTTGTCACTCTGGGAATGTGAAACGTGTACAAGGTCTAAAGGCTGTGAGAAGAAAGCCATTGGGGGTGTTGATGACGGGCCGTTTGAGAGAAGGCTAGCAAGCCCTGCACGGCACCACTGACCTATAATCCCAGGGACTCGGGAGCCGGAGGCAGGAGGATTGCAAGGTGGAGACCAACCTCAGCAATTTAGCAAGGCCCTAAGGACTTGGCAAGATCCTGTCTCAAAATACAAAATAAAAAGGGCTTGGCTGGGATGTGACTCAGTGGTTAAGTGTACCTGGGTTCAATACCTAGTACCCAAAAAAACAAAACAGGCTACAGAGCCCACTGTGGGCCATTCTTGGTGTCCACCAGAGTAGCGCCCTTGTCAATATGTCATTCCATCACTGAACCAGCCCCTTCAAGGAACTTTAAAAGTCAACTCTTAGGCTGGGGGTGTGGCTCAGTTGTAGAGCATTGTCCAGCATGAGTGAGACCCTGGGTTGAGCCAAGCATTGCAAGATAAAATAAAAGCGAGCTCTTGTGTAGATGGCACTGCTGTGTTTGGGTGGTCTGTGGGGTTCTTCCAGACGGCTACACCCTCACAACACTCCAGGTGCACAAAGCAGGCTGCACGGTTTCGTCCTGGGGAGAGGTTTAAGGGCACAGTGAGGGGCAGCCGTGTCCCTTGGCTGTGCATCCTCACCACAGTGCTGTGTCACCAGCGCTGCTGCAGGCCCTGGAGCGGGGTCCTGAGCCCGGCTCCTCACAGGAGAAGCCCAGCAGTGCTACGGACGCGAGTGGCTGCTTCCCACAGCCTTAGTTCCTTAGGGTGTCTCCTCCCGCGTGGACCCTTTACCGGGGTGACCCCTGGGCTCGTGTCCTTGCCCACTGTGACCACTGACTTAAAATGAAGACCTGGGGTACGCTGCTGCGGGGTGCCTTAGTGCTTGCAAAAGGCAGAATGGTGGCTCTCGAAAACCCGCAGGGAGCCTCGTTTTGCCCTGTCACATGCTTGGAGGGTCCTGATGGTGCTGTATTTTACTCCCAGGTGGTTGAACTCAAGCTTGGTGGGAAGGATATCCCCGTCACCAGTGCCAACCGCATCGCGTACATCCACCTGGTGGCAGACTACAGGCTGAACAAGCAGATCCGCCCACACTGCCTGGCTTTCCGACAGGGCCTGGCTAACGTCATCAGCCTGGAGTGGCTCCGAATGTTCGACCAGCAGGAAATTCAGGTACCCTGACTGCTGATGCTCAGGGACGTAGTCGTCTCGAGGAATAAAAAGGCTTCCTTAAAATCTACCTCATGTGCTACTATTCAGACTTTTTTTTTCCCCCAGGTATTAATTTCTGGTGCACAAGTTCCCATAAGTCTGGAGGACCTAAAATCCTTTATGAACTATTCAGGTACGTTTAATTTGCATTGCTCAAACACTGGAGTGCTAGTCAGGTACCTGCCTGTAATCCCTGCTCCTCAGGAGACTGGGGCAGGAGGATCTCAAGATCCAGACCAACCTGTGCAACTTGCAGGACCCTGCCTGTCTCAGAAAGGGCTGGGGCTGACTATTAAAGCACCCCTGGGCTCGATCCCCAGCACCAAAAAGAAAGACAAGACTACAGAGTGCTGGACACAGTGCCTGGCGAAAGCCTCTTCCTGTCCCCTTGTCCCTGGGCTTCTTTGCCTCTTCATATCCTCCCTCCGTAAGTTTCCATTTGTGAGCATTTGCTGTTTTTTTTTTTAGGGGGGTGTTGCTGGGGATGGAAGGGGGAACCCAGGGTCCCCGTGTGGGAGGCAAGCTCCCCCTGAGCCCCACCCCAGACGTGCTTCCAGTCTTTTGCTGTTAAAAGCAGTGCTGGGTCTGGCGCACGGGGGCACACCTGGGACGTCCCAGCTGGGCAACACCTGTCTCCACTTGAGAGCTAGAGGCTGGGGCTGTGGCTGTGGCTGAGAGGTGCAGCACCAAGAAACAAATAGGCTCACCCCCATGCACACAAGCACACTGATAATGATGACTGAGAATTAGCCTTAATAAAGAGACTTTTTTCCCCCTATGGTGCTGGGGATTGAACCCAGGTCCTTGTGCGTGCCGGGCAAGCACTCTACCACTGAGCCACGACTCAAGTACTCACCCTCCAGGTTTTGTTAGAGTATTGTAGTCATACACAGTAATTGAGTTTGTCCTGACAAAATTGTACATGCATGGAATTTGATTTCACTTCACAATCCTCCCACAACACTATTTACTTTCTGATTAAATTAAATGTATACCTTTCTCCTTTTTAAGAAAATGAAAAGGCACAAATGAGTCAAAAATGTTCAGAATACATATATCTGAAAAGGAATTTGGACCTAGAGTATATTTTTAATATTCTGTAAGTTCATTGAGTGGGCAAAATCCCACTTATACAAATGGGCAAAAAGCCTTAAACCTCTACTTCCCCAAGAAGGCACATGGCCCTAGGCCCGTGGAGAGTCCTCCGACATCCTGAGTGTTACAAGTTCCTGGGTTTTGCTTTGCTTTCTTTTGTTTAAGCCCTGTGTATACTCAGCAATAGTTGAAAGAAAAAGAAAAAGGTCGCCCTTAATGCAGGATTTTACACAATCACTGTGGTGTTGGTGTGGTCTTCCATTGTACTTCATTACTCTAGTACTGTGTGAGCTTGTGTTTATAGCAGATATTCTGGGATTTTGTGTGTTTGTGTAACATCAGTAGTAAAAACGTGTTTCTGCGCTGTCCCTGTTGGTGCAGTTGATCTGGTGTATTTGACCTCAGAGCACAGTGAGTGTGTCCCTGCCTGTCGTCATTTGTCTCTGTAGAAGTTAGGCGCGAGGTGGAGGATTGCTCTCCACAGGGTGTGCGCATCCCGGGAGGTGAACTGCAAGTGGGTCTGGCTCGCGCCAGCCCCTGACCAGGCCGAGCACACCCTCTGCCCTTGCAGCCCTTCCTCACCTGGACACCAGGCTCAATGGGAGTGTGAAAGGGGCGGGCACTGTGAGCCACCCATCCCTATTGTCATGGGCCCTGACACGTTGAGTACTTTATGTGGCTCTTAGAAAACACTTGGAGTGGAAGACGCAGCAGATTCTGAAACAGTCTGTGTCATCCCACATTTTCAATGTGTTGTTCTTTTTTTTTACATCTTGAAATTAGTGTACATTCCTTTTCAAATAATTTTTAAGCCATAACACATACCCTGGGCAGGACTTTCAGCCCAGGTAAAGGAGATCAAAAGATCCCCTGCTCAGTGGTCTTCATTAGTCTAATATCAGAGCAGACCAAAAAATACACACAAATAAAAGTATAGATTAATATCCCTTATGAACATATAAGTAGAAATCTTGAGCAGAACATCAGAAAACTGAATCCAGGAGCCAGGCACGTTGGCACACACCTGCAATCCCAGCAACTCTGGGGGCTGGGACAGGAGGGTCATGAGTCCAAGGCCAGCCTGGTCAACTTAGCAAGATCCTGTCTAAAAGTGAAAAGGGAAGAAGGGCTGGGGGTGTGGCTCAGGTGGAGCACTGGGTTCAGTCCCCAGCACTGCAGCAAGGTTGGGGAATGGGAACTGAAGCTG